CGGACATTATTTAGTAACTGCAATAGAGCAGATAAACATTAGTTTTGTTTTTTTTAACATGGTTTTCAGAGGCATTTACATTTACTATTTCTGATTATTACTTGGAATCAGGGTTGCCAAAAGATACAGGATGCCCAATTAAATTTAAGTTTTGGATAATGAAAAACTTTTAGGGGGGGGTTGGCACATGTCTGTAATTCTAACTACTCAGGAGGTTGAGGTAGGAAGGAAGATTGCATGTTTGAGGTCTGTCTGGGCAACATAGTGAGCTCCTGCCTCAAAAAATTAGCATAAGTAAGTTATATGCAATATTTGGTTATATTTATACTAAAAAATTATCCATTGTTGGAACTGGAGGAAAGGCTCAAGAAGTAGAGCACCTTCTTTGCAAGCGTAAAGCTCTGGATTCAAACCCCAGTACTACAAAAAAAAAAAAAAATCCATTGTTTATCTTTTTTTCTTTTTTTTTTTTGTGGTACTGGGGCTTCAATTCAGGGCGTACACTTTGAGCCACACCAACACTTTTTTATGATTTCTTTTTTTGAGAAGGATCTCACAAACTATTTACCTGGGCTGGCTTTGAACTTTGATCTTCCTGATCTCTGCCTCTTGAATAGCTAGGATTACAGGAGTGAGTCACTGGTGCCTGGCTGTTGTTTTGTTTTTGTGGATCAAACTCAGGGCATATCCATTGTTTACCTGAAATTCAAATTTAATTGAACATCCTGTATTTTTATTTCCTAAATAAAAATAGCTGTCCCTGAGACCAGGGACAGAATTGTGTGCCTCATTTTGCAACAGCTTCAAAGAAGGGAAATAATGGAGCTACAGCTAGAGGTCTTAAGTAATCTCTTGAATTCATAGCTCAGGTCTCCTCAACACACAGATATTCAAAGCCTTTTTCCCCTGCCTCTAGCAATTAAAAACAGAGTGGTCCAGGGGAGAGGGGGACAGCAGCCTGACTAAGTGTTCCGCAGGGAATGCCAGTAAGTAACAGGTGGCATGTGGGCTGCTGGAGTTTCTCTCCCAACTCCTTCCAGTTCTGCAACCAGCTTCCTTCTCTCCTCCTCTTCCAGGAGTCCTGGGAACCAACTTCCCTTGCTGGTGGGAGGCTCCTTCAGGCTTCTGCCCATGCTCTAGCAGGGTTGGGTCCTATTCCGACTGACTGGGATCTCCTAGGCAGAAGGAAAATGAAGGTGGCTTGAGGCTTTATCAGTCACTGTTCTTGCATATTTTTTATCAGGCTGAGTTCTAGATCTAGGAACTTGGGGGCCAGAACCACACAGCTTGAAAGAATGAGGAAATGGGCTGGCTAGGATATGCTGCCTTAACCAACACTTGGCGGATAAACCCCACGTACCTTCCCTGGATCTCCTTGAATCTTCACAACATCCTGGGAGGTAGGATCTTTTATTTTCATATGCAGATTTGGATACTGAGGTTCAGGCGACTTTGCCTAAGACCCTCAAAGCTTCTTGGCAGAGTTACTTTTGCATCCCCTCCCCTTGACCAGTATTCTGAATTCTAAAGAAAAGTTGCACCTAAATAATTAAGATGCTAATAGCTTAAAAGTTTTCCCTAAATGATTAAGATGCTAACAGTTAGATAATCTTTCTTTAGATTTACAGAACTCAGAACATTTGGCGAGCTTCACTTTTTTTTTTTTTTTCCTGGTACTAGGGTTTGAACTCAGGGCCTACACCTTGAGCTATGCCACCAGCCTGGTAATAGGTTTTTTCAAGATAGGGTCTCAGGAACTATTCGCCTGGGGCTGGTTTTGAACTGAGATCTTCCTGATCTCTGCCTCCTGAGTAGCTAGGATTATAAGCCTGAGCCACTGGAGCCTGGCTCCAAAGCAATATGTTTCTTTTTTTTTTTTTTTTTTTTTTTTTTGCATGGCTAACAATACATTTTACTTTAAAATTCAGTTAAATGACATAAGAAGCTACATCATTATTTTTCTGAATTAATTACACTTTCCCATGCAACAATGACTGTTTTTTTTTTTCCTTTTTCTTTTATTATTCATATGTGCATACAAGGCTTGGGTCATTTCTCCCCCCTGCCCCCACCCCCTCCCTTACCACCCACTCTGTGGCACCCCCCCCACCCCCGCTCAATACCCAGCAGAAACTATTTTGCCCTTATTTCTAATTTTGTTGTAGAGAGAGTATAAGCAATAATAGGAAGGAACAAGGGTTTTTGCTGGTTGAGATAAGGATAGCTATACAGGGAGTTGACTCACATTGATTTCCTGTGCATGTGTGTTACCTTCTAGATTAATTCTTTTTGATCTCACCTTTTCTCTAGTACCTGTTCCCCTTTTCCTATTGGCCTCAGTTGCTTTTAAGGTATCTGCTTTAGTTTCTCTGCGTTGAGGGCAACAAATGCTAGCTAATTTTTTTGGTGTCTTACCTATCCTCACCCCTCCCTTGTGTGCTCTCGCAAAGCAATATGTTTCTAAGTAGCCCAAGGACGTCAAAGCCAAGCACATTCTGAGGAGCTGAGGAGAGCGAGGGACACTCACCCAAAGACCCTGCTCAGCATGTAGGATTCTTGCCTGTTGCCCCTCTGTCCTTTTCCCTCTCTATAAAAGCCGTTGGTGCCCCTCAGTTCCCTAGGATGAGACTCTGAAGCAACATCCCCATCTTCTCATGATGCTGGGTGGCCCTTGAATAAAACTAATTCCTTCCTACCAACTGTCATCTCCATAGTATTGGTAGAAGGACTAGACCTTTGATTTATATGCCTCTGATGCCTAAGTTATTAACTCTTGCTGGGCACTGCTTTCTAGATCAGAGCTAATTTACCCAACTGGCATTAACAGGATGGTTAAGATAGCATAGACCAGTGTTTCTCAGAATGTGATCTCTGGGCATAGCAACACCTGGGAACTTACTGGAAATGCCTGATCCTAAAACTTTCTGACTCAGAAGTTCTGGGGGTTGGGGTTGGGGGATGTAGCTCAGTGTGTGTCTAGCATGCCTGAATGCCTGGATTCAATCCCAAGCACGACAGGAAAAGAAAAGAAGGGATAGAGAAAAGAAAGAAAGAAAGGAAGAAAGAAAGGGTAATTCTCAAGGGAGTCTGGGAGTAAGTATAGCTCCCTTGCCTAATATGTTCTAAATCCTGTGCTCAATCCTGAGGGGTGGATTTCTGGGGTGACACTTGGTAATCTGAAATTTAACAAGCCCTCCAGGTAATTCTGATACACTTTGAAATTTGGTAATATTTGGCTTTTGTAGGAGATGCATTTTTTGAACCAAAATAAGTATTGTTGTAAAACACATACTTGTTTTAAGTAAAATTTATTGACTACATATACTTTGTTTGTTTGTTTGTTTGTTTGAACTCAGGTTCTCTTGCTTGACTATTACCACTTGAGCTATTCCACCAGCTCATTTTTGTGTTGGGTATTTTTTTCTTCTTTTTCCTTTTTGTTTTTTCTTGTATTTTTGAGATAGTGTCTCACTTTTTGCCAGGGCTGTCCTTGAACTGAGATCCTCCTGATTTCTGCCTTCCAAGTAGCTAGGATTACAGGCATGAACCACCAGTGCCCTGCTACAAATCAATCTATCTTTTTTGTGGCATTGGGGCTTGAACTCAGGGCCCTCACCTAGAGGCACTCCGCCAGCACTTTTTGTGATGGGTATTTTCGAGATAGGGTCTTGTGAGCTATTTGCCTGGGCTAGTTTCAAACCTCTATCCTCCTGATCTCTGCCTCCTGAGCTGCTAGGATTACAGGTGTGAGCCATTGGTGGCTGGCTAGGAATCTGTATTTTTACTAAGCTCTCCTAAGGCATAGTACAGGAAAGAAACATTGACATGACAGGTTCATAAGTGTAAGTGACTTTTCAGATGGCAAAATGTCTTCCTGAGAAAAAGGCTAAACAATAATAGCAAAGGTCACTAATTACTGAATACTTAGTCACTACTTGCACAGCCTATTAATTCTCACAAACAATTCCATAAAGGAAGAGGATCAACTCAGAATTGACTGCCTAGGTTCTTATCCTACATGGGACTTGGTTTATGCATCTATTACAGGGATAATAACATTATTTCTCTCATTGGCTTGTTGTGAGGATTAAGGAAGCTGATGTTTCAGCTCTTAGAACACCTGCCATATTGGCACCATTAAGCTGTTGGCATCATCCCTAAGAACACACTGTCAAAAGGCGAAGGGAGGACTTGAACCCAATCAATGTAACTCTGGAGTGTACATTCTTAAGGCCTTAACTATTCCAGGGGTTTTTAAATTGTGATTCTTCACTCTCAGTGCACCACCAGAGATCTTGTTAGAAATGCAAATTTAGAGAACCCTAACCCATATATACTGAGTTAGAAACTGGGGGTGCTGTGCGGTTCAGTCTAAGTTTTAAAAAGCCCTTCAGGTGATCTTGATGCACACTGGAGTTTGGGAACCACAGCTATGATATGTAAAAGTTCTGGGTGATGGAAAGGAAAGGAAGGAACGAAAAAAGAAAGGAAGAACGCCAAGTGCTGGTGGTTCACACCTGTAATCCTAGCTACTCAGGAGGCAGCGATCAGGAGGATCACTGTTTGAAGCACAGTCTGGGCAAATAGTTCGCGAGACCCTATCTCGAAAATACGCATCACAAAAAGGGCTGGCGGAGTGGCTCAAAGTGAAGGCCCTGAGTTCGAGCCCCAGTACCCCAAGGAAAAAAAAAAAGGGAGGAGGAAACGAAAAGGAGGTGGGACAGAAAGGAAAGAGGAAAACAAAGCGAGGGTGAAGGAAGAAGGGAAGGAAAGAAGGAGGGAGACAGAAAAAAAAATAAAGGAAGGCAGGATGGAAGGAAAGAAGAAAGGAAGCAAGAAGTAAGCCAGTTTGACAGGGTGGAGCAACTCAAGTTTCATCTCACCTGCAGGTGAAGAAAACTGGGCTTTAGGAGGCTGGCGCGCAAAGCCTGCTGGATCTTGTAGTCAGACAGCTCCTGAGCGGCGGCGCCTGCGCACTAGCTGCTAACTTGCTCTGGTCGCCGTACTCGGGGCTCCGGACCGGCTGCCATCTTAGTCGAGGGAGTGAGGAGTCGCCACCGCCCCGAGTCCCGGTAAGCACCCGTGGGCGGACTGGGGACAATTCTGGGGGGAGCGGGGAGTCTGAGTGAGAGTGCCCGGGGAGAGCAAGCGGTAGAGGAATGCGGCGCGTGAGCCGGGACCCCAGAGCCTTGGCTGCTCCCCTTCCCTCAGCTGGTGCTCGTGGGGGGCACCGGGAGCTCCGGTTGGTGGCCGGGGTCGGGCTGGGGGTGGGTCAGCCTGATGCACCGAGGTGCCAGTGCCGGGTCTAGGCACCCGGAGTTGCTGGCCTCGAGAGTCCCAAGTTGTGAGAGGGCCGTGCCGCAGCGGGTTTGGGCAGAGTCCAGTCCCGCGCCCGTGGGCCACTGTCCCGTGGTCCGGCCTACGCGCGGGGGCCCGGTGGCAGCGGCCCGCCCGGGCGACGTGGCCCTGTTAAGTGGCGTCGGCCAGGCCCACCTGCCACCTGGCTGGCTTTTCCGAGACTTTCCCAAGCCCCCTCTCGCGAGGACGGCCCAGAACAGGGGCGGACTCCCTTCTCGTTTCCGCTCCCCTCCTCCCTCCATTGTCCCCCCGCGTGGTGGTCCCGGCCCCGGCGCCCGCCACCGCCGCGGCGGCGCCGACTTTTGCAGACGTGGAGCTGTCACTGCCCTTCCTCCCGAGACTGCTCTTCTCGTTAGCAAGGAAAAGGAATAAAACAAAACGAACCGTGAACGTATTCGAAGGGTGGAAACAAGACGAGGGTATGACTTTTAAGCGGAGAACTCAAGTTTTCAGATTTAGTTCCCGGTTGTGACTTAAAGAAACAGGGGTCACTGCACCCGAAGTAGGCGTTGGGCCTAAAGTTAGTCAGAGATGTAACCAGGTGAACTTGCAAAGTGCCTGAAAATCGCGAGTTGCCAATAACGCAGCTTGTTTTCTTGGTCATATTTGTATCCTAATCTTTTGCATTTTTCTGCCGTTCTTCAACAGCTGCAGTAAACTAGTTCGGAAGTAGGGGGTGGGAAAGAGTGAGATTTTTATTTGAAAATAAGAGGAACACAAGTCAGCTAATACCTACCTTGTTTTTAAGTGCAATCCATCTTCTGCATCTGTTTCAAATATAATTTGATTTTAAGGAAGTAGATAAAGGTAGTGTATTTCCACTCTCAAAATTGACAAAGATCTTGATTCTTATCTGAAATAAAGTGTTCATGGCAAATCTGGTAAGATTCTGCACTGGGTGTACAGGTTTACTCCAGTTGCAATTACTTTTTTTTTTTTTTTTTTGGTGGGACTGGGTTTTGAACTCGGGGCGCTCTAAGGCTTGAGCCAATCCATTTTGCTCTGGTTATTTTGGTAATGGGGTCTGGTTATTTTGGTGATGGAGTTTTTTGCCCAGGCTGGCCTTGAATCCGGATCATCCCAGTTTCACAAGTAGCTAGGATTACAGGTGTGAGCCACCAGTGACTAGGTGCAATTACTAATTTTTGAGATTTAGAAATGAAGGTGGAAATTCTCTTGAACAGTGAATGTACATTTTTTTGGGTGTGAGACCAAAAAGAATTCATTCATCTTCGGTATACAAGTCAATAGGATATGATATAAAATTAAATTAAAAAAAAAGTGCAGAATAACTTTGTATTCTACAGTAAAGACTTTATACATTCTTTTTTTGGTCCTGGGGTTTGAACTCAGGGTATACACCTTGAACCAGTCCACCAGCCCCTTTTTTTGTGCTGGGTTTTTTTGAGATAGGGTCTCTCGAACTATTTGCCTGGGTTGGCTTTGAACTGGGATACTCTTAATCTCTTCCTCCTGAGTAGCTAGGATTACAGGCATGAGCTACCTTTGCCCAGTTTAGGAGAGCTTTTTAAAAGTAGAAATTCCAAGGTCTGATTTCTGGGATTATTAGGTCTGGGTTGGCTCCAACCAATTTATTTTTTAAAATCTCAGGTAATTTTTTTTTTTTTTAATTTGACAGAAGTGGAGTTTGAACTCAGGGCCTTATGTTTGCTAGGTAAGTGGCTCTACCACTTGAGCCACTGTGCCAGCTCACCTCAAGTAATTTTGATGATTTTGGGAACTATTAAGGCAGACAATAATATGGATGTACCAAGGACAGCTCAAAAAGCTTTGAAATGGAAGAGGAAGTGGCCAGTTCTGACTGGAGATTGGCCACAGGAAGACACAAGACTTGCCTGTGGATCTGAAGTTTGGTCTTAGATGATAAGTAGGAATGTGACAGAGGTGGGGAAAGGGAAGGGACAGGGCAGGCAGAGAAAACACTTTTGATGATATGTGTAAATTCAGAGGGTTGTGAGAAAAAAAGGGTCCAGGGAGAGCAGGAAGGAGAACATTATGGGGCACGAAGCCAGAAGGTAAAAGGAGTCAGTTATGAAAAGTTATAGGTATAATGCTAAAATATTTGAATTTTATGTTGTGGATAAAGATTTTTAGACAGACAAATAATGTGAGTACATGCATTTTAGAAAGATGGCTGTAGTGATAAAAGTGAAAGGAAAGAAGAGTGGCTATTGTAGAAGTGACACAGCAGCCTGACCTTAGAGGTAGGGATGATGGAGAGATTGGATTTATCTTTTTACTAGTGCAATAGTATTGTCATTTTTTTTGTTTGCTTGTTTTTGTATTTTGATGGGATTGGGGTTTGAACTCAGCTTCACACCTGACTCTACTGCTTAAGCCACACCTCCAGTATGTTATGTTTTTGGATGAGTATTGTTTTAGGGCTAGTCTGGTTAAAAGGTTTCTTTTCTGTCAAAAAGAATCTATTAGCAAGTCTGAATAATATTGTCAGGTTACATGTTGATAATACCAGAGTAAATTGCTCACTAACATTGAGAAATTAGAATCAGGGTAGGTGCAATTTGGAAGAGAGCTTGGGAGTTTGGACTGAAATTTATAACTATCAATACTATTGATCTAGGCTTGTTGAAAGTGTTTTTCTTCCAGTCCTGAGAAACTTGGTATTTGAGCTTTAGAGTTAGATTGTGTACTTATTTGTGGCAAGTATATTTTGGCTGTACTTGGATTTGAACTCAGGGCCTCACACTTGCTAGGCAGGTGCTCTACCACTTGAGCCATTCTACCAGTCTAATAGTGGCAAATATATTTTGGTTTATAGGTAAACTCTGATTGGAAATAACTTCCAAAGCACAGTGTTAAGGATTCTGGTGTCAGAAGCTGGTGGCCCATGCTTGTAATCCTAGCTACTTGGAAGGCTGAGATTGGGAGGATTGCAGTTCTAGGCCAGTCCAAGCAAATAGTTTTGTAAGACCCCCATCTCCAAAATAACCAGAGTGGCCAGAAGCTGGTGACTCATAGCTATAATCCTAGCACTCAGCAGGCAGAGATCAGGAGGATAGCGGTTCGAAGCCAGCCCTGGGCACAAGACCCTATCTCAAAAATACCCAGATACACAGAGAAAAAAGACTGGTGGAGTGGCTAAAATATTAAGAGTGCCTGCCTAGCAAATGTGAGGTCCTTGAATTCAAACCCCAGTACTGCCAAAAAGGAAACCAAAATAACCAGAGCAAAATGGACTGGAGGCATGGCTCACAGTACAGTGCCTGCTTTGAAAGTACGAAGCCATAATTTTAAAACCCCACTTTCACCAAAAAAAAAAAAAAAAAAAAAGATTCTAGTTGTGTGAGTTCTCTGGGAAAGTATATAGTATGGATCAGGTGTATATACTGTTCTTAGACTGGTCCAACCTCTTAGTTTTCTTTTTTAAGATCAAATGTTTGTTAAGAGTCAGTCAGGAGCTGGGTGCCAGTGGCTCATACCTGTAATCCTAGCTACTCAGGAGGTAGAGATCAGGAGGATCTTGGTTTGAAGCCAGCCCAGGCAAATAGTTTGAGAGACCCTATCTCAAAAAACAATCACAAAAATGGGGCTGGTGGAATGCCTCAACCTGCAGGCCCTGAGTTCAAACCCCAATACCACTTTAAAAAAACAAAACAAAACAAAAAAAAGTCGTTCAGTCATTTAAGAGTTAGAGCTGGGTTTGTAGCTCAAGTGGTAGATAATCTACCCAGCAAACAGGAGGCCCTGAATTCAAACCCAGTAACACCAAAAAAAGGAAAAAGAACTAGAACCTGAACTAGGTTTTGCAGTTCTCAGTCTGGAATTCTCCAGTTTAGTCAGGTGTATGTCTGCTATTAAAGAGCTTCTGGTATTAGACCAGGAAAGAAAAAAAAAAAGGTACTGCTAGCTTGTGCCTCTTGAGTCTTCAGGCAGGAGTTTAGCTGGGACTTCGGTCTAGAAGTAAATTTTGTTAATAGTAATTTTGGTTTAAGAAATTTGTAGTAGGGGAGTGGGGCAAAGGAGAATGATGGTGGGGGTGAGTTTAACCAAGAAATATTGTAAGCATCTTTGTAAATGCCACAGTATACCACCAGTACAGCAATAATGATAATAAAAAAATTAAAAGAAATTTGTGTATTGATAGGAAATAGCCACTCCCCCTATTTCCCCTTTCGTGCTCCTCACCTGTCTCCGTTTTGGGTTTTTGGGATTGGTTTTCTTATGTGAATTAAGGCAAAAATATATACTTTTTTTGTTTGTTTGTATTTCTAGTTCTTATCTAATTATGGGCTTGTAATAAGCTTTCAGTAAAGGCATTTTGCTTTTTTGTGGCTCTAAATGATACTGGCTTTGAGTCAATATAAATCAGCAAAAGGATTCACAGAATTGAATTGTAACCCTCTCTGGTTGGGAGGTTAGCTCTCTGCTAAAAATGTTAGGTTGCAGACTTAACCAGATGCAGTAAACGGAAGCTATTCTGCACCCTGTTGTCCTCCAGTCTAGCAGTGTACTGTCCTTGGAAAACTGTCAGCTCAGCTCTTTTGCTGCTTTTCAAAACTGATTGTACCCGGATCCTTGGAGTGCTTTTTCTTTTCCTGTGCCTAGGAGCCTCCAAGTTGCAGGGAATGTCCTTACAGTGACCCTTATAGGCAGAATGTATGTTTATATGGTCATCCTCATTTTGCCATATGTCCATCATACCTAGGTGGGTATTACTCCATACTGTGTATGAGTCATTTCCCTCTAACTTGCCCTTTTATCCTGCCTACTCCATCAGAAAATATCTATCCTGGGATTTTTTTTTTTTTTTTAAGCTCTTGTATTGGGGGAGAAAAAAAGACTTTGTTCTGTGAGGTTCCCAAGGTTATCATAAATCTGATGTGTTTAACTATAGGGTAACGTGTTAATGGATTCTTCTTCACTTCTCAGGTAACATGCATTTCACAGTGGCCTTCTGGAGACAACGCCTTAACCCAAAGAAGTGACTCCATTGGTGAGAAGAACTTGAGTATGATGACATTCCTGTGAGATAGATTTAGGGTTAGGATGATGCAGAGGGGAAGCCCTGGTCATTTAACTGTGGGGAGCTGTGGGGAAAGAATAGTGTTGATACTTGGCTGCATCAATTTTGGTTGAAGAAATAGGCAGTTTCTACTTGGATCTGAAACTTAAACCCTCCTCAAGAATTAGCCTGTGAGCCTCTCCACCAGCCTTAAGCCACACTGTCTCTTAATTTAGGTTCTCTTGACTTTTTTAGTTCCCTTATACGTACACATACTTCTTTCACTTGTGTCATTTTATAAATGTTTATCTCTGAAAACTTGTCCAGATATGTACACGCTTATGATAATAGGTGGAGGAATTAAAAAGAACACATATATATGTGTATATATATATATGTATTTTTTGGGTGGTACTTGGGTTTAAACTCAAGGCCTTGCCGTTTGAGATCTTAGTCTTAAGATCTGGGCTCTGACTTGAGTTTGTCACTGACAAATTTTGTCACTATGACTTTTAGCAACTTATTTAGTCTTCTTGGGCCTTAGTTTATCTATCTTTAACATAGATGTATTGATTCCTACCTGTCTTTCTGGCATGGTGAGGATCAAATAAAATAATCCATATTAAATCTTTAGAAAAGAATGATGTGCCGGTAGCTCATGCCTGTAATCCTTGCAACTCAGGAGGCAGAGATCAGGAGGATCTCAGTTTGAAGCCTTTCCAGGCAAATAGTTCCAGAGACCCTATCTCAAAAAAAAAAAAAGAAAAAAAGAAAAATCACAAAAAAAGGGGCTGGTGGAGTAGCTCAAGTTGAAGGCACTGAGTTCAAGCTCCAGTACCGAGGAGGGGAAAAAAAAGATTTAAATCTTTAGTAAAGAAAATGAATTCACAACTAAAGACATTATCTAGCTCCACAAGGTGGGAGAAGTTGGTAATATTATTGAAAGGAAAACATTAGAACAAGATAGATTCACTTTAAAAGGTCAAGTGAGAGAAGAGGAAGACTGCTAGTTAAGAAAAAAAAGAGAATATAGTCAAACAGTGAGAGAATAGGGAGTGAATGAAGCAGAGCAGGTGAATTGTTAGGTAAGAAACAGAATAGGAAGAAAGGTAAGATAGAACTACCATATGATCCAGCAGTCCTACTTTTGAGAATATATCAAAAGGAAATATTGTCACTATCTTGGAGAACCTGCATTCCTGTTTATTGGCAGTATTCACCATAGCAAAGATAATAGCAACATCTTAAGTGTCTGTCAGTAGATGTCAGTAGATGAGTGAATAAAGAAATTGTGCTATGTATAAAATGGAATATTTCTCAGCCTTAAAGAAGAAAATGTGATTGTATGAGACAACATTGGATGAACCTGAAAGACATTAATTATGCTAAATAAATTAAGCCACAGAAAGACAAATATCTGGTTTCACTTAAATGTGGAATCAAGAAATGTGATGCATAGAAACAGAGTAGAAGGGTGTTTATTAAGGACTAGAAGGTATGGAAATGGTGAAAATGGAGAGATGTTTGTCAAAGGGTACAAATTTATGATTATAGGATGGATACATGCTGGGTGCTGGTGGCTCACTCGTGTAATCCTAGCTAATCAGAAGGCAGAGATCAGGAGAATCTCATTTTGAAGCCAGCCCAGGCAAAATAGTTCAAGAGACCTTATCTTAAAAAAACTCATCACAAAAAAGCTGGTGGAGTGTCTCAAGGTGTAGTCCCTAAGTTCAAGCCCCAGTACCACACACACAAAAAAGTACATTTTGGAGACCTAATGTACAGCACAGTACCTATACTTGATAATAATGCATGCTTAAAATTCACTAATAAAGTATATTTTAAGTATTCTCATCCCCAGAAAAGGAAACTGTGGTGATGGTACAGTAATTAACTTGACTATATACCATTTCATGTAGTATACATAATATCAAAACATTAGCTTATACACCTTTTAATACATAATTTTTGTCATTTATACCTCAATAAACATGGGGGACAAAACAGACTTGAAGAGAGTGGTCCCTAGGTGGTTAAGGTGCCTAACCTGATCTTGAGATTGTTGTCACTGTTATCACTGCCTCCTTTAACATACTCACTCATACTTAGCTGTGTCTCCACTGTGAATGTTAACATTTACTCTTTATTCATTTGTGTAACCCTTTGTGTTTTGTTTACATTTTTAGTAACTAATTGCCCTATAAATGCTACATATAGACCAAGGCTATGATTGTCTTATTGTGGTGTCCTAGTTGCTATAAGCAAATGTGTGCTTAATCTGTTGTTTTTGATCATTATGGAGAGGAAAGAAGAAGGTGGTTGGGTGATTTGTGAGAGATGTTAGAAAGGAAGAAAGAGAGCCGAGCGCCGGTGGCTCACGTCAATAATCCTAGCTACTCTGGAGGCAGAGATCAGGAGGATCGAGGTTCAAAGCCAGCCCCAGGCAATTAATTCCGCTAACATAAAAAAGGGTTGGTGGTGTGGCTCAAGGTGTAGGTCCTGAGTTCAAACCCCAGTACTGCAAAAAAAAAAATAAATAAAGTCATGAAAAAGAAAACGTGTAGACCAAAAAGGGGAAAAGGAGATGATGTTATGTGCAGTAAAGAAACAAGGAAGCTTTCATTTCTTTAATTATGATGTACAACTTCACCCCAAAAAAGTAATATGCTTAACACACATGCACAGGAAATCAATGCCAGTCAACTCCCTGTATAGCTATCCTTATCTCAACTAGCAAAAACCTTTGGTCCTTCCTGTTATTGCTTATACTCTCTCTTCAACAAAATTAGAGATAAGGGCAAAATAATTTCTGCCAGGTAGCAAGGGGATGGGGGCGTTAGGGAAGGGGTGTGGGAACGGGGGAGAAATGACCCAAACATTGTATGCACATATGAATTAAAAAAAAAAAAAGTAATATGCTGGGAGAGGTCATTCTCTGTAGTAGATATCTGTAAAAACATCCCTCAAAGTATCTATTTCATCCTGAGCTCTCAAAGCAGTTCTTTTTGGGAAAATACCTGGTCCAACATTCAGAAGACCTAGGCTCTAGTCTTAGTATTTCTCATCAGTTAAATTCTATATTCTTGGACAGTTCATTTAAATGTCTGAGCCATGTTTCCTCACTTGTTTATTGCATTTTTTTTTTTTTTTTTTTGGATGGTACAGGGGTTTGAACTCAGGGTCAACACCTTGAGCTATTCCTCTAGCCCCCTTTTTTTTTGTGTGTATGTGAAGGGTTTTTTTTTTTTTTTTTTTTTTTCAAGATAGGGTCTCTTGAACTACTTGCCTGGGCTGACTTTGAACCTCGATCCTCCTGATCTCTGCCTCCTGTGTAGCAAGGATTACAGGTGTAAGCTGAACTCAGGGCCTCATGCTTGGTAGGCAGGTGCTCTACCACTTGAGCCCTGTTCCCAGCTCTGTCAGTAATCTTAACAAGATAATAAGTGCTGTAATAAAGGTGACATGTCATTGCAATTTAAGATATTTCATATTTCTTGGTTCCTTTAACAGAACTGAATATATTTCAGAGACTTACAACCAAAAAGCACCCTGCTGGGTGTGGTGGCATTAAGTCTGTAATCCCAGTACTTGGGAAAGATCCAGAGTTCAAGGCCATCTTGGGCTACTTAGCTAGATCCTCTCTCAACAAAATAAAATCAGAACCAAAAAGAGTCCTTGCCTTGTAGAAATTTGCAGTTTCCTTTTTCACATGTGCAAACTGCTTGCCCTAATAAGCAATACTCTTCTACCCTAGGTAAGAGAAACTTTTTCATATTGTAACACTTTATATTAGAACTCATCTGCATGGAAAGCTTATTTCACTCCAGAAATGACTTAACAATATGTTTGCTTTCTGAGAAAACATAGTTGATTGGATTCAACCTTTTCTCTTGTCAGTTACAATTTTTCTTTTTTTAGGCAAGAAAAACTAAAAATACTGTCTGTATTTAGGTGAACTTTAGTTTGCTTCTTAGTCATTTGTGAAAGGAATATTAGGCTCTAAAACATAGTCTTGGCTGGTGGAGTGGCTCAAGTGGTAGAGTGCCTGCCTACCTAGCAAGTGCAAGGTCCTGAATTCAAAAGCTCAGTACCACCAAAAACAACAACAATAAAATGTTGTCTTGGTACCAGAGGGAAGAATATTAAAGAATCATGTTGGGGCCAGATGCTGGTGGCTCCTGCCTGTAATCCTAGCTACTTAGAAGGCAAAGATCAGGAAAATCATAGTTTGAAGCCAGCCCCAGGCAAATAGTTCAAGAGACTATATCTAGAAAATAACCAATACAAAAAATAGCTGGTGGAGTGGTTCAAGTGGTGTAGTGCCTGCCTAGAAAGTGTGAGGCCCTGAGTTCAAACCCCAGTACTGCCAAAATATAAATAAAGAAGAATTATGTTGTAATCATTATGAAGTGTATCAGTTGATATTTGAATTTTGAATCTACCATCTATTGACAGTATGACCTTGGCCAATTTGGTTAACTTGTTTTTGCCTTAGTTCTGTAAATTGGAACTAGTCATAGTATGTATCTCCACAGGGATAATGTGTTTCTGCTTGAATAAGACTTGGCCTACAGGTAGCATGAAATGTCAGTTTTTTGGTTTTTTGTAGTGCTGGGGCTTGAACTCAGGGCGTTTACTTTGAGCCACTCCACCAGCTCTCTTCATGATGAGTTTTTTCAAGATAGGGTCTCTTGAACAATTGCACAAGCTGGCTTCAAATTGCGATCCTCCTGATATCTGCCTCCTGAGTAGCTAGGATTACAGGCGTGAGCTACCTGCACCATGCAGTCATTATTGTTATTTACATTTGTGGGGGCATTAGGTAGGTGAGACATATTGAGGCAGGGAATTCTCTTTAATAGTTTTCAGATGTTATTTTAATAGCATTCTTAGCTTTAGGGTTGGTTTGTGGTCTGCTAAGCTTAACAGTATATTCCCAGAGGTTTACCTAATAGTCACGAACTGTTAGGTCAGACACAAAGGTAAAAGTA